ACATATCTCTCAGCGCTGCTCAAGCCTGGAACCGGAACGACGCTAGAGCCGCCAAAGCTTTGTCTCTTCGAGGCCAGGCAGAAAACGAAGCGATGCGTAAGTGCCACCGCGAAGCGGCACGGCAATTGTACGAAGAGCGGAACAAGCACCTTCTTAGTGCCGGTTTGGATGAGTCGTCCGAAGAACTTTACGTCGACCTTCATGGCCTGCACCCTGAAGAGGCAATCGAATATTTAGAGAAGATCCTTCTGAAGCATGCTCGTGAGGGACGACGCGTGATCTACGCCATCACAGGCACGGGTCATCACTCGAAGAATGGCAAAGACAAGATCGGAAAGGCTGTCAAGGCTTGGCTCAACGAGTGGAAGTACCTCTACCGCGAGTTTAGTGTGCCCGGGGAGAGGGGAGGATATGTAGGTGGCATCCTGGGAATCGACCCCACCAGCTATGACAAGACACTTGCCAAAAGTCTAGAAGAGGGTGAGGATGGGAAGGGTGGTGACAGCAATGGTAATCAACCCGTAATGACAATGGGCAAGATTCAACTGTTGAAGCGCGAGGATCTGGAGTCGAAGAGTTCATAATCGCGTGTCATTGTCTTTGAAGGATACCATGCGCTGTTGTCCATTATTGCACTCAGGAGATGACTCGAAAGACCTCTCAATCCCAACACCTTGATCTTCTCACCATCATGGGGAGAGCAAAGTCTGCCACCATATTCTCATCTTCTCATCGCCCGCAGACCACAATTATGAGCTTAATTCCTCTCCCGCACATCTCCATGCAGAGCGCGTAGTGCTAACTAGTTTACTGTTGCTTGCTCCATGGACAGGCCTGATCGCGCCTCGATCGCGATGGTACTTCTTCAATTACGACGTATATACGAGTTAGATACATTTATCAAACACCCTAACGTTATCCTGTCATCGGCTATTGGAGATCAGATGAACCTTCCTAGTAAAACCGCTGAGATCCTGTAAGTAACGGGAAGGACAGAGCGCATATTCATTCGGGCTCTTGATGCTGCCACTTATCTTGCAATTCCTTCACATCAAATCCGCAAGCCTCCGCCTTCTTCACGATCGCGCGTGCTTTCTCCGCAACAGGGATGTCAATCATCTTACCATCCAGAGTCCAGGCGCCGCGGCCTGCCTTTGCTGCTTTCTCATCCGCAATCGTCACGCGTACAGCCCATTCGACCTCGGCCGGCTCCGGACCAAAAATACGCTGCGCCGTCTCTACCTGCGAAGGATGAATACACTGCTTCCCATTGAATCCCAACTGCTTTCCTCCGCGGCATTCTTCCTCCAAAGCCGCCGGTGGTGACCCATCACCCTTCGTAGACTTGTAGGCTGTACAGACCAGATCAATTGTAGACGGCAGATTCGCAGCGCGAGCTGCAGTCACGATGGCGGACCGTGCAAACAAGAATTCTGTTAGAGATGGAGTACGGGTAAGACTGAGGTCGAGGGCGAAATCCTCCGCCGCGAAAATCAGACCTTGAAGAAGTGGTGTCGCTGCACAGATCTGGGTCAGATTCGTCAGGGATTTAGCCGACTCAACCAGGGCCAGAAGTGAGATAGGGGGACGTGAGGCTGCATCTTGCGAGTGTGCCTGTTGCGAGAGCGTGTGGGAGACGACATCGGTGACAAAGGTGAGATCCGAAGCGGAATTGACTTTAGGGATGACGATGGTGCTGAGGTTGGGGGATTGGAGCTGTTCGTTTCGTTAGCTGGATTATTGACTTCGGAGGAGGTGAGGTTTCACTTACTACTTCGGTCAGATCTGCCAATGCGAGGCCGCTATCTACCGAGTTGATGCGAACGGCGCGTTCGCGGATGCCAGATGGAGCGGGCTGGTCAAGCGCTCTCCGCACCAGCGAGCGAGCTTCCGCTTTCTTGTGCGGAGTCACGCTGTCTTCCAGGTCATAGGCGACGCAATCCGCCGTCAATGAGCGGGATTTGTCAATGAAGCGCTGGGAAGAGCCAGGAACTGCCAATTAGACGTCAGCCAGGAGTGTTACTCAGGATCGGGGTCGTTTCGTATGTGCCAAGAGGGGGGATGGTCGACTGCGGGGAGAGCTTGTTCTGTGGATTAACGTACTGTATAGAAGGGCGCGACGGAGGGTATTCCTCGACGCCATCGCTGTCTGGTATATATATGTATATATATGATTAGTCTCAAGATGATATGTGCGGAGTTATTTAAGAGCCTTTATAGCACCTATTGCCTGCTGAAGAGCATGCAGGATGAAAAGGATGTTGCTGGGCTATAATGATATATCCTCGGTCTGAGATAAGATATAGTCCGGTCTTAAGCATAGGCTTCTTGGACCGGGACTTGAGAGCTTAACCGGGCCGTTTAATCGACGTTACTTGCCATTAGTTCTGCTGGCACTAATATATTTGCTTTGTCCGTTGGGCATGCAATGTCCAGTTATATCCATCTGTACAAGCAAGCCAAGCTCTAATAGTAAAACGATCTCTACTCCGTAATTCCATGCTTCCTTTTCTCCATGCAGACAGTTTGTTTTGCTTTTCCGCTGTGGAGCATATTCTGCCATCATCTACCGCCTTGTGTACGGACGCAGGAGACACGCAGCATCATGTAGACACATCACGCGGATTGCTGATCTCCGTTTAACAAGAGAGGGAGCTCATAGCCATTGCCATCTTTCTGTTTAGCAAGAGTTTGAGAACTCTTCGTACGGCATCATGGATCAACCTCTCCAGGCACAGCAGGGTGAGCTGAACTGGCGTCTCAGCGCACATCCGATCACTCTTCTGTTCTTCCTGGGCTTCCGCACCAGTGCGCTGTTGATGTATTTATTCGGTGTTTTATTTATCAAGAATTTGTAAGTTTTTCAGCTACTTGAGAATTTACCCGTTACTCTGTCTCATAGCTTCTCTTCCGCTAACACAATCCACAGCGTCCTTGTCTTCATCCTGACTCTCCTCCTCCTCTCCGCGGACTTTTACTATCTGAAGAACATCGCCGGACGTCGATTAGTCGGTCTACGGTGGTGGAACGAAGTCAACACTGCTACTGGGGATTCTCACTGGGTCTTTGAATCTTCCGACCCTGCCACGCGTACCATCTCGGCCACAGATAAGAGGTTCTTCTGGCTCAGTCTGTACGTGACGCCTGCGCTGTGGATTGGGCTCGCCGTTTTGGCGATTGTGAGGTTGAGCAGTGTTATTTGGTTGAGTCTAGTGGGTGAGTTGTCCTATGCTGATATTGATATCGATTGTTGTACTGCCGAAGTCAGAGGCTAATACATTCCCAGCCATTGCGTTGGTGCTGACCATCACCAATACGGTTGCGTTCTCCCGTTGCGATCGCTTTAGCCAGGCTTCTACGTATGCTAGCCGGGCGTTTGGGGGCAATATTGTGAATAACCTTGCTGGGGGTCTGCTGGGCAGACTTTTCAAGTAAACTGCAATCGAATCTATGCCATGTATGATTTGCGTCTTTTCTTTTAGGGACAGTAGTCCGAAGTTCTCCTTACTTTATGTCATTCCTAGGGATGAGAATAGCTGGAGCATTGTATGAATATCCACAATTTTATACTAGAATATATGTGATAAGCAAGCAGGTCAAATGATTATGAGATTACAGTGGTTATAATATGGTTGATGACCAAATATGTGGATCGATTTGTCTTTACGCAGACACTAGTTGATTTCATCAGCTAAGGTACTTTATGACAAGAAATGTTACTGCCTACAGCTGATGTTAGGTGATAATTCCAGACCGCATCATGCCTCCTGACATAGAGATTACACATGTCTGTCGGTTTAGGGCAGCAGAAATATTTTAAAAAAATTCATGACCAAGATAATAATAATGCTACTAGGTTCTAGTCTAGGAAGTAAATTTTACATATTTCAGGCTCACTTGTTGCGTTACACAGATTTGATATACTAGGAGTATCTCACACACTGTCTTATCAAACCCGAGACAGGACTCTTTCAGATCATGCTAGATTCTCCATCATAGTCCTAATAGTAATCCAAAAATCCCTGGAAAATCGCATTCTACCATATCCTAACCAAGCGCCATACACACTAAGGTCTGCCTTGGAAGAATCCATTTCAATTGCAAGGCAGAATCGAAAGAGTATCAGACGATTTTTGACCCCTAATGCAAGTTGACTGTGCCGCAATCTCGATAGGAGGTCTTTCAACATCCTCGTGCTACATAAACTCACTGGGCTATGCAGCTAGCTCAAACGAGATGACGGGATGCGTAAACGGCTGCGTTTTGCTTTTTCTCATTTCAATGGCTGTTGGTTCTGTCTTGATATAGCTAACTATCGGGGTGTCGTTTGGTCAGTAGAGGCAGTCTGTGAATAGGATTTTTGGGTTTGATTTCACATACGTCCTTTTTCAGTGATGTATAAATATAGAGCTCTTTCTAATGGTTCTCATTAATGCATATTGTCCAGAGAAGCAATACCAGACCAAGTAGACACTCGTCACACTCCGCTATTGTTGTATAGGGTTGCCTATAGTCAGCAACTTCCAGTCAACGATTCAATGGACCTTGTTAAGCATAGAAGAGAGCCAATCTGCCCATTCTGTTCTCCTAAGATGATACTTCACCGTCTGCTAGATGCACTCAAAGTCTCGGCGTAGACAGATTTTTTCACAGAGTCTCGGCGTAGCAGGACTTCTTCACACGATCTCAACCTGTTCAGGCATTGACCCTTTCATCTGGTTTCAGCCTTGCCAGTCCTTCATCATCCTAATTGGTTTCTGTTGGTTATCAGCACCTTTTCAGAGAAGATACATCGACTCACTAGCGGATCATCCTGGTCTTTTTTTGTCTTGCCCGGACAGTCTGAGAGTCTGAGCCCCAGGCAAACGCAGCCAGTGCTGAAAGTATCTCTCATAGCCATAACAAACCCAGTTATAAAGGCCTGGTTGAACAGCCTTTTCTCAGACTGTGTCTTTTTGCTCTCTTTTCTGTTTGTTTCCTCAAGTCTCCCGTCTTTCTCGATGCCGAGAGGTACGAAGATCCCTAGAACTCGCTGGTCAGATTCAGAGAAACGTCGGCTTCTCAATTACCGGGATACACATCCTAACTTGCCTTGGGAACAAATCAAGCTGGTAACATGACCATACTTCATATATCTGAGGATCATAGCTGATCTCTTCTGTAGGCTTTTCCAGGCCGCAGTGGGAATGCCCTCTGCAAGCAGTACTCTGTGAGTTGGGACGATACAAAGCAATATATGCATTGCTAATACTTATAGGACCTGAAAATTGAACGTGAGAAGGAGGCTCAGAAAAAGGTATGTTATCTCGTGGAGTATCTCGTGTAATAGTCAGAGCTTGATGCTAACATACTTCATGCTGTTCAGGCGAACAATGGTAATAAGGCGACTGAGGAAATGGTATGTCATCTCAATTGCAATATCGCGTGCATAGTCGGAGTTCATGCTAATAAACCTCGTGTTGATCAGGCGAACAATCAGAATAAAGTGACCAACACTACTCAGCTCAGTAAAGGGAACAAACGTCTGCTGCACCTCGGAAACAACGAGACACGTCCCAGCAAGCAAACCAAGACTGGTGATGTCGCAGCAAACAATGACAATGACCCAGACTTCGACCCTAGCGAGGCTAGTGACTCTGACGGGGGTGACATTAACCCTGCAGGTGACATTGGCCGCTCTCCCACTGCTCGTCAGCTTCGTAATACGCCTCGTAAGCAGCTGAATGATACTGTCGTGGGCTCGGCTTCTGGCCTGAAGCGTCCGTCCAAGAACACAAAGCTTCAATTCACTGGTCAACCTGGTGCACGCGATCCATTCAGCACAACGCTCGCTAGCCCTGACCCTCGCACACTGCAGAACGCGAAAAACTCTACCAAAACTCCTAAACCTGCATCCACCTCAACTCAGCCAACACTTTCAGATTCTCGCACTCCTGACAACGCAGCAACCACGAACAAATCTGACGCAACCTGCGGAATCGTGTCACCGGTGCAGAGAGCTCGTCCAAGCTTATCTCCTGCAACCACTCATCATTCTGTACAGAATCAACAGCCTACTACCGACGAACATTTGCCATCAAAGCCTGAAGACGAAATGGCTCCTCGTCCTCCCACTCCCCCTTTTTCCGCCACCACTGCTTTCACCGAACCTGGAAACAACGGATACCCACTCATGCAGCATGGCGCACTCCTGTTTATGCAGGCCGGTTTCGCCATGAGAGATTTGCCGAAAGAGCGTGCCCGTAACGCGCAGTTGGACGAGAGAAATGAGAATCTTGTGATGGAGTTACTGAAGCTGAAGGAGAAGGAAGCCGAATGGAGACGGGAGATTGGAGAGCTCCAGCTCCATAACAGGAACCTCGAAGTCGACCTTAAGAAGCAGATCGATCAGGCCAAGAAGCTCGAGGCTGGACTGAAGGAGATGAACGAGAAGAAGAACCAGGGTGCTCTCGATCCCGCCAATGGAGCCACCAATACCAAATGCGAGCACTGCATTGAGCATATCACTCGCCTCAACGCTCTGACCGAAGAGAATAAGAAGATGAAGCAGAGATGCATGGTCTTGGCTGAAGCATTCGCGGCTGGCAATGATCAAGCCTGAGTGGTGCCTGGTGCACTACTCGCAATTCGACTGGATTATCAGCTTGGTCATTGCACAGGGTTGTGAGAAAGGAATTCGGGTGATGGCATGATTATTCTGGGGCAGGGGCTGATGACCCTTGTGTACTTTTACTCATCGCCATCTTGATGTTGTTCTTACCTTACTCAGGAGAACTTGCCCAGTTATCTCTGTAACTAGGGTTCTAATTTAATGACTTTATGACTTCTAAAATAATTCTTGTCTCATGGTAGAACTGTAGAATTGCCTAAATCACGATACTGGCTAGTATGGCATGAAAAGTACCTTAAGCCTATCAATAGCCGGTGCCATAGAATTGCTATCAAACAATATAGGCTGACAGAGGAATGAAGCCATACAGCATGGAGATGCTCGCAAATGCCTACATGATATAATGGAGGCTATGGTAGTCGGATATTCGAACCATATAAACCAGACTGCCAATTCATCCAAATTCATCGGCGTTTGCACAGAATCCATATAGCTCACTTGTTGGCCTGAGGACACAGGCAGGCAACAACTTGATGCTTTTCTTGTGAATATTGATCGCCTGTGCAAGATTTTCTCAGGAAACAAACAAAGGTTGAGGTGTTGTTGTTGTCGTTTGTTTGTTGCTCCTCGAGCTCACTTGCTCTTCTTCCTCCCTCACTTTCTCTATTCTTCACCCATCTCCCATTCATCTCCTTTCTACATATTTGCATCTTTCTAAATCAGTTCCCTTTTTTGTTTCTTGCTTCCTCTAAGAAGTATCGTGTGGGGGTAAGTCTTTCCACTATGCTTCGATCAATTCAAGTCTGCCGGGATACTTTTCCATCGTCGCCTATCGAACACGTTCTGTGTGTTTCTGAAAATTTTCCATCAGGACATTCGCCTTTCCCCTTTCTCTCTCAGGAGAGACATCTGTTGAATGTTCTCATAAAAGCACATGTTACGAAGCGAAACCTTTGACAACGCCGTCCTCTAACTTGCTTCTCTTTTAGTTTTGAGCGTGAACCGACAGTCAAAATGTCTGGCTGGAACTCCGGCGAGGCAGACGCCTGGAATACCGAAGAATCAAGCGGCTGGAATAACAACAACGGCGCTGGTACGTACGCCTACATACTTCTTTTCCAGCAGTGGCAGACGTGTTGTCAGTCCTGCTCGGTTGCGGGGAGTCTCATCATCTTGGGCCGGTACTGGCAAGGATAACATATAAAGAGACATGTATACTCATTTTAGCTTGGCAGGTTTCGCTGACGAGAATGTCAACCCAATCAGCTCCGCCCCTGCTGGAGATGGCGGTGATCAAATGGGTGGTCAGTTCGAGCCTACCTTCGGCGCTGGCGAAGAGGGCAATGACAATAAATGTCGCAAGTAAGTGTTTCCCTCCCCTGGGAAGGTCTACGAAGTTTCTGCTGCTGACAAGACCCAGTTGTGGAGGTGATAGTCACTTTGCGCGTGAATGTCCTGAACCTCGCAAGGGTATGGCTTGCTTCAATTGCGGCGAGGAGGGGTAAGTACTCTACACTACAAGTCAATGTTTGTCAATGCTAATGCTGTATAGTCATTCCAAGGCAGAGTGCACCAAGCCGCGCGTGTTCAAGGGTCCTTGCCGTATCTGTAGCAAGGAAGGACACCCGGCTGCGGAGTGTCCTGATAGACCCCCTGATGTGTGCAAGAACTGCCAGTCCGAAGGTCTGTCCGCGGCCGTGCGCAGATATATAAAGGTGGCTGACAAGAGATGCATCAGGTCACAAGACCATCGAGTGCACCGAGAACCGCAAATTCGACCTGAACGATATCCCTGACAAGCTTCCCGAGGAGGCCTGGGCTGCCCTCAAGAAGGCTAGTGACGAGAGAGATCTGGAGGACTTCCGTGAGGTAGGCAATGAAATTGACCTATACGCATTGAAAGACAACAGTTGGTGGCTGACAACCCTCTAGGGCCTCAAGGTCTATTCCAAAGCGGTTCCTCAGGCCACTTTTGTGGATATTGAGAAGAAAATGCGCGAGGAGAATTTCAACATTTACCTTATTGCCATGGTTTGTTCTAAAGCTCATGACGTTCTACGTTCCTAGAGATATACTGATGGTGTCTATCACTGTAGGAGAAACCAGTCGGAGACAGCATCAGCTTGATCAACCTCCAGGGCAAGTTGAACTGCAAGTATGTCGTTGCATTCTACTTCAGCCCTAAGCCGCAGCGCGCGAACCTCAAGGAACGCTGGCCCGCCGACTCTGAAGAGAACCTTGAGCGCCTTGAGGTCGCTGGCTTCCCTTACGATAGACAAATTCCCAAGTGCAGTAACTGCGGCGGTAAGCAGGAACTTTCTCTGGGTGGATATCGCTGCTCTCAAGAATAATGCTAAAGAATCATAGAAATGGGTCACACTGCTCGTGGTTGCAAGGAGGAGCGTGCTTTGGTGGACCGGGTCGAAGTCAAATGTGTCAACTGTAACGCCAGTGGACATCGTGCTCGTGACTGCACTGAGCCTCGCGTCGACAGGTTTGCCTGTCGTAACTGCGGGTATGTCGTTCTTCCTCTCTTCATCTTCCGAGTCTTGCGTTGACTTGAACAGATCCCCGGAGCATAAGGCCGCCGACTGCCCCAATCCCCGCTCTGCTGAGGGTGTCGAATGCAAGCGCTGCAATGAGAGTAAGTGCTATGTTTGGATGCCGCGGACTACCACACATGCATATACTGATGAACTGCAGTGGGCCACTTTGCAAAGGATTGTCCTCAGGCACCTGCCCCTAGAACCTGCCGCAACTGCGGGTAAGTCTCCCAGAAAGGAGCTGTTGCCACCGTCGACATTCTAACTGCAGCAGATCTGAGGACCACATGGCGAGAGATTGTGACAAACCTCGCGATGTGTCAACCGTGACTTGCCGTAATTGTGAAGAAGGTAAGATGCCATTTGCAGAGATGGCCGGCCGTTCTTCGTACCCAAGGCTAACGGATGATATTGTAGTTGGACACTTTAGCCGTGACTGCCCTCAAAAGAAGGACTGGTCCAAGGTCAAGTGCAACAATTGTGGTGAAAGTGAGCGATCTGCCAAGGATGCCAGACCTAATGATTACATGTTGACCAATGTAACAGTGGGCCACATTATCAAGCGCTGCCCTCAGGCTGCCAGTGAGAGTTTCGGTCAGGACAACAACGACATCCAAGCCAATGGCGCGGGCGATGATTGGAATACCGATACCGCTGCCCCCGTCAGCAATGAAAACACTGACGGAGATGCCGAAGCGGGCGGTTGGTCCGGCGGTGGTGGTGGATGGTAAACCAGGGCGCATGGTGGAGAACGCTGTGCCTGGTGGTGTCTACCGTTCGGTTGAAGATTGACGATGTCTAGATTCGACGTCATGCGCAAGCGTCGTGATCGTCTTCGGATGTTGTCTGCTCGACCGCTTTGACCATTCCCGGTCTACCTTGATGCTACTGCAAGTGTACTCCGTATTCGCTAGTCTCCTGCCTTGTTGCTGTCGCTGGCTATCCAAGCTCTACCGGGCAGGCCCGGAACTTTTCTAACCCGGATCTGAAGGAAGACATTCGGGGTATAATTGGGCAGAGGGCTAGCATTGACTGTTGACTATTTGTGGAGTGGTCGGCGGAAGCCAGCCTTCCTGTCTGTGACTCGGATATGATGAATTTACGACTTGATATGAAATGACCTCCGATGTAGCCTGTAGATGATCCGGCCCGACTCACTGCAGCTGGATCTGTAGTCCTACGTACAGCTCAGACCTGCATTTCGGCCTTGGACTGCTCCAGTAGTGCAGATGCATCCGAAAACCGATCTTATCAGATGACGATTGATACTGTGGTGCCCGATATCGCCTTCATGTCAGTAAAAATTGAGGTACTCTGCCGAACCGATAGATCCAATATGGGTTGGTGTAAATTCCAGTTTTGCATGGACTTGGGAATATTATCCAGTCTTTAAGCTACCCACAGAATACGGTATGAAAGATACAAGAGTCTAGTGATGACTCATGCAAATTGAGCAAACTAGGCGACTGTTGACAATCTGGCAAATTCTCTTCTCCATCTATTGCTTCATGTTACATTAAGAGTAAGCAGCACTTTGTCAGCACCATAAGATGGCGTTTTTATAATTGAGAAATTTGTACCCCTGTGATCAACTACTCTGGTTCCTGCTCCTCATATATCCACAAACCTTCACTACAGTAACAAAATGGAATCTATTCTATCTGCGCATGAAATCGGTGAAGGACTTCCCGTTTTGATCATTCATGGATGGAAGATGGAGGCCAGAGTCGAGGAGCTGGACTTTGAGCCGATATTCAGCAAAACACCGGGACTTCGCCGGATTTATGTGGACCTTCCAGGCATGGGCGCAACACCTGCAAATAATGTCAAGGATCTGGACGATATATACGTTCGCCTGGTGCAATTCATTGATTCTCGACTTGGGAGGTCAAGATTCTTACTTGTCGGCTCATCCTGTGGCGGCTACCTTGCACGTGCGATAGCTCAGAAATATATTGAGCAAGTCGATGGTCTACTATTACGCGTACCGCTGATAGAGCCAAAGGACAGCATGCGCGATCTCGATGCTTTCAAACCTTTGGTTGCAAATGAGCAACTCATGTCGAGCATGTCGGCCGAAGACAAGGCACTTCTTGGAGACGTTCTCGTTCAAACGCCTGCTTACGTTAAAACTTTGAAGGCGAAATACGAGGAGGTTCTCCTTCCAGCGGAGAAGAAAGCAGACAGTCAGGTGTTAGATCCGATCCGGGCAGATCCACATCGATATCAGTTATCTTTTTCGGTGGACAATGAAGGTGCCAAGTTCTTTGCACCCACGCTTGTTATATGTGGTCGGCAAGATGAGAGCGTTGGCTATCGAGACAGCCTTCGCTTGCTGGAGCTCTATCCACGATCAACCTATGTTGTTCTAGATCGTGGTACGCATGGCCTTCCTATCGACGAGACTAGTGTTTTTGAAGCCCTTGTTCGTGACTGGATAAACCGGGTTAATGAATGGCGAGGTCGCACGGACAGAGAAGTGTATGGTGACTCTATAGATGGAAGGTAGTACACCAATCAATAGGGCAAGCAGCCTGCACCATAATGCTCTAAGGAGGGGACTAGATGTGATTGCGATGGAGTTAACCCAGGGGGAAGGTTATGACGATGGAAGAACTGTAGATATGCACTTCTAGATGGGACGGAAAGCCCTGAATAACATATATATATGTGATGGCCCAAATTGAACGAGATTAGGACCATGGAGGATTTCCGGCTGGAATTGTGGCGTCACTGAATTTCGTGGATCGCATACGGGAGCTTAGTCTAAGCACCGATGGTGTAGGTTTGTAAATTAATGAAGAGGTTCAGACCGTTCAGTAGACACTGGAAGTTGAGCCACTGCCGTCATCAGCGCCGTGAAACCGACCGCTAAGCACCGCCGCGTTTCTGGGACATCGTCAGAACGCAGATTAGGCCATCTCCACTGTGGAATCCACCGCTTGCATATTTGCATATTATGATGGGGATAAGCTGTTGGTATCTAGATCGGATGAGTTGATGGATGGGTGAAAGTTAAGATTATAAGCACGAGGTAGAAAGGCACATGTTATTATGAATACTACGTACAGGTTGAGCTCCAGCGAACGTAAGATGCTCAATGGTAAGAATACGGATCCAGATACGGGCAATGGAAATCCAAATTTCCTATTAGACATAATTGATGGGGCTCGTCAAAGACTCGAGCCATCAACGACGAAGCGAAATGAAGCGAAATGGTATGATATGATCTGGCCCGGAATCGCCCGAATAGGCAGTTCCGGGCGTCTCCAGCGCAGGCAGACATAGCAGCGGTGCGACATCAGCCATCAACAGGCCATCGATAACGGCTAACGAGTCAATCAGAACGATTCAGATAGTGGAGCGGCTGTGCATGTTCAACTTTAGTCAGTGCTTGAGCCTCCCGCCGACTGAGTCGAGGATTCAATGGTGAGGACTCTGATGGAGGGTAGTCGACTATCGCGTTCTCCACGTTTGGTTGGCACTTGGTCCGAGTTGCAATGGAGGGAGTCCACGGGAAGAGAAGTGACCTGGGGAAGGTGGACCGTGGACGAAAGGCACCAAAGGTACCTTGCCAACTACCAAATTGGGGTCCTTTGCTATTGGTGTCCTACACCTACATTTCACGAATAAGGACTCATGCGTCTCTACTAATATATTGACAATACTTTGCTTTTCTTGCGCTTGATCATAGTCTTCCTGAATGAGTGGTCTTTCTTTTGCTTCTGGGGTTTCCCGGTCTTGGATGTGGGGCCAATCTGTTCTCGGCCAAGACGCTGTGTACAGTATCCCGGACTGGGTTTCTCCGGCCCGTGTTTCGGCCTTGGCCTTTGGAGATCGGCCTGAACTTCTCAACTGAGTCAACTGAATCAATTCTCTAGACTAGCTATGAACTTGCATCATCGCATGAGACAGCATCTGAGAACACGATGTAGGTAGTACGTCTCTGCTGCCGTGATATTGGCAAATAAGGATACTACTACCTTCGTCTTACGGAGTACGTGGACAGTCTACTGTGTATGTAGCATGGACTACGGATCAGTTGTCTCCGAGACTCCAACCTTGACCGCGCTTATGTCTGATTGCATAGTAGTCGACCATGGCCTGTGGATACAAAGTATATCTAGAACTCAAGTGACAACCACGCGAAGGGCCACGCGCGCAATCACGAGCTCAAGGACGCGAGGGATGATTACATGTTAGTGACCATTGTTCCATTCTCCAACGTAACACCTTTTGTAGAACCAAAGAAGAACACCACAAAGAATCCAAAGAACCGGCAATTTTCCGACCGCGGAATCGTCTCCTCACTCTCGTGTCTCTTCTCCGTACGGATACTCGAAGTACTTCGACCAGTATTCCTCGGGTTGCCCAAAACAGGTTAGCGCATGGACGTCTGCGGTTAAACCAAGAGGACTGATCCCACGCCATGACGGCATAATAATCCTTAGGGTTGGGAAGACATCAAATAATAATGTTTTCAATCAACAATTCTACAATGCTAAATCTAAATTTCACGCCGGCCATTCCCCGCCGATCAATCAAGCCACACCAACCATCGTCATTTTGACTTTCTCCTCAAAGTGGGGAACCTGTATACACCACGCCCCCCATACTCCCATACCCCAATGCAATGAACGAGCCACTACCCGACTCACGAAATCACGGGGAAATCCGTTGTCTCGCTCGATCCGGAGATGGTGGAGTCCATTTCCAACCGTCCCTATCCAATCTCCTCGAGGACGGTATTCGCTGATTTGCCCGTGAGGTCGTCTGTGATACCAAATCATGCCCGCTCATTGCTGCTTTGGGCAAAGTACCTGCCTTAGGTTCTCTCTGACTGCTTCATCCTTGAGCTCTTGCTTTCACCAGAATCCTAGTAATAATAATCATTATTGGCTCTTTCCTGAACAGATATTTAATAATCCTTCTCTTTTAAAAACCCCATCCGTTTCCCTCGTGCGACGCTGATCTCTTTTTCTCCGAATACTTCTTTCTTGTTCCCTTGTTTTCAAATCAATCCTGGACTTCCTTTCCATCACATGAGTCTGTCTGCTCTGGGTACTAGCCTTCCCAACCAACAGTCTCATTTCATCGTCCGGATCCTGTATAGCATTCACTGAAGCATCGAGGCACACAGTGCTTTTGCGCAAGATGGGAACCCAACGGTATCTGGGCCTTCAAGGCCACAAGCTCCAGCTGGCTATCGGTATCATTGCCGGTATGGACTTTCTACTGTTTGGGTGAGTTTGGAATGGATCTATCTTCTCTGGCATTTGCGCTGCCGCTGGCGATATCTGACTCTTTTTCGACTAGCTACGATCAAGGTGTCACTGGTGGTCTTCTAACATTGGAGTCATTCATCAAATACTTCCCAACGATCGCCCTTAACGGACCTTATTTTGAAAGCCTGAGCCCGTCTGAAAGAAGTGCACAGTCTACGCGCCAAGGTGGGTATCAATTCCTTGTCTTGACTGCCCTGTTTTCTCGGTCTGGCGCTTACAACTGGTTCAGGTATCGTTGTTGCTGCCTATAACTTGGGATGTTTCGCCGGTTCGATTCCCACAATCTGGGTGGGTAATTGGCTGGGTCGCCGCAAGACAATCTTCCTCGGTTCCTTGATCATGGTGGTTGGAGCGATCTTGCAGTGTACATCCTACCATCTCCCGCAGTTGATCGTCGGTCGTTTGGTTACCGGGTTCGGTGAGTTTGTCCGCTAGTACAGGCATATCCCCGACTCAAGAAGACCCATGTGCTAATTGAATGCAACCAGGCAACGGTATGAACACCTCGACAGTGCCTACATGGCAATCGGAATGCTGCAAATCCAACCGCCGCGGTCAGATGGTCATGATCGAGGGTGCCATGATCACTTGCGGCATTACCATCAGTTACTGGATCGATTTTGGTTTGCTTTTTGCGGACCCCAACGAAGTGGCCTGGCGTTTCCCCTTGGCCTTCCAGATCTTCTTTGCAGCGATTATCCTGGCTTTCGTCATGTGGCTTCCCGAATCCCCCCGCTGGCTTGTTCTCAAGGGCCGCGAGGATGAAGCAAAGCAGACTCTGACTGCTTTGCTGGGTAGCGACGCCGATGAAACTTTTGTCGAGACCGAGTTTACCGCCATCAAGGCTACCGTCCTGGAGATGAGCAAGGGTTCGTTCCGCGACATGTTCACCATGACTGAAGATCGCCACTTCCACCGGACCGTGCTCGCCTACGTCAACCAGATGTTCCAGCAGATTTCCGGAATCAACCTGATCACCTATTACATTCCCGTTGTGCTGGAGCAGCAGCTGGGTATGGACATGATCAAGTCCCGGCTGGTGGCCGCTTGCAACGGAACTGAATACTTCATTGCTTCCTGGATTGCCGTGTTCACCATTGAGCAGTTTGGTCGCCGTTCCCTGATGTTGTTTGGTGCCGCCGGTATGTCGATCTCCATGGTGATCCTGGCCGTCACTGCCAGTCTCGGCACCGACGCATCCAAAGTCGCCTGTGCCGTCTTCCTCTTCGTGTTCAACACCTTCTTCGCCATTGGTTGGTTGGGTATGACCTGGCTGTACCCTGCCGAGATTGTGCCTCTGAAGATTCGCGCCCCGGCCAATGCCTTGGCTACGTCCTCGAACTGGATTTTCAACTTTATGGTCGTCATGATTACCCCGGTGGCATTCGAGAACATCAAATGGCGGACCTACATTATTTTTGCCGTCATGTAAGCTGCCCTCACTCTCTGTTTACGGTACAGACGCTAACCAATGACAGCAACGCGGCCATCTTTCCCGTTGTCTACTTCTTCTACCCTGAGACTACCAGACGGTCTCTGGAGGAGATGGACCGTATTTTCCGAAAGACCAAGAGCATCTTCTCTGTGGTTCAAGTTGCTAGGGATGAGCCACACATGTATGGCAAGAAGGGCGAACTTTTGCTCACTCTGGATGATGTGGAGGACGACGCGGTGCGCCGTGCAAGCGTGTTGAGCCACGCTCACAAGGAAACTGGAAGCAACAGCGACGAGAACACGAGCTCCGAAAGAGTGGAGCACACGGAAAAGGCCTAGATGCTTGACGCATGAAAAGAAGAGGTTCTATCATGAACGCCTCTAGATGAGGCATGTTGTATGAGTGGGACGGTTGATACTGTCTACTGCATGGCTATATACCCCGCTTGAATTGATTGTACTGAGATTTTAGATTTATGCCATTTAACCATCAGATTCGAGGCTTTCCGTCCATCGTAGAAGTGCATATCTATACTCCGTAGTGCTTTCGTAGCCGTCCCTTCGGGTTAACCGCCATCGCACCACATCTAGGCCCTGTTTAGTGCACTACCTTCCATCTATCATTTCGACCATACAAATGGCACCATGACCTGCATTACGCTGGTTCGAGGGAGTCCGTGTAAGTTGGTTGAAAGAAAGGCTGAAAGTACCACCCAACACAGCAACTCAAATCAGATCTTTCGATAAGACATAATGACTACTAATACCTACTATCTACAGAGTTCAAGTAGAAGAGCATATAGGACCACCGACATCCTGCACCAGAGACAGAATCGGTATTCGGTAGAAGTGGCTTTGACCGACATCGGCAGCGCAAAGTTAAACTATACTGTGAGTCATTCAAGGTTTGGGGTTCTGCTGCAGTGAGTGAGCGTTGGGAAATTGGCGTTGTGGCCAGCCGGTTGTTGAGTGTGGAGTAGATCCGTTGAATAAAGTTGTTATTCCTCTCAGGATACAGAGTCCCCTGAAGGAAAGTAACGAAAGATGAAGCTATCCAGATAACCCGTCGTTCAAACAAAGTTGGACTTGAGCGGGAGGAATTTCCGCTCCGGCTTTAAGCGTCGAAGCTTCAGGAAAAAGAAAAAAAAAAGTTGGTCCGATTGTCGGATTGCAAACTCCGCTTCACGATTAGATTAATATTGAGACTTGGGATTTGAGATTTGAGATTTGAGACTTGGGATATCCAGATATTCTGGTTTCGTTCTTGGTATATTTTTTTTGTTGTGATCTTGCTGATTGACGGGTTCTGTGCAATCCGTGTCTGGACTTGTCTGCTCGAGGTACTAAGGTACTTCTACGGCGTATACAGTACTACTATCTGTCTTAATCTCTGGCTATCAATCAGGTACGTTGAATAAATGATGTCTCCTGCAGATCTATCTTCAGTATACGCTGGACGAGATTTCAGTATTTTCTTCCATTGCCTATTCCGGAAGAATGAGACTTACATGTCTATCCGGGCAGTGACACACGCTAATTGACAATCATCAGGACATCTCCAACAAGCCTGTGCACAAAGTCTATCTACATTCGTCTGAAGCAGTTGAATTGGTCAGCACAGTCCTGATATTTGACGCCTCGACCTATCTGGCCGTGCGGGGCTTGCAGATCTCTTTCATGCGTTGAAGGTTCTGCATTATCTCCTGTGATTCCGACTCGACTGTTCTGCTTGTTCTTCTATTTGATTCAATCATTGTAGAATTCTTACTTGTCTGGATATTTCTGCAACATCAATGCAGCTCTATTCATAATCAATATCCCACCACTCATCCCACCAGCTCCTCAACATGTCGTTGTCGGAACCCGAAACCCGCCCCCAAGATGTTGGAAAGCATCAAGACACCGAGAATGTCCGGGAACCATCAACTGATACTCAGAATGGTGTTGAATCTGGCGATGAGCCGAGCGTCGCTGAGATTGAGCGCATCTATAGGTGAGTCTCCGCCTAGCGCCTTGATGCTACGTAAGAAGCTCACAATCATCCAGAAAACTAGACTATCGAATCATCCCTGCCTTCTGGGTCCTGTACTTTCTCTGCTCTGCCATCCGATCCAATGTCGGTCTGGCACAGACGATGAACATGGACGTAGGCCACGACCTTGGGTCTGTGCTGCGCTTGACTCCTCATCAGATCTCGACCGGCCTCGCCTTGTTCTACGTCTGCTATGTGGTCTTTGACTTGCCGTCGAATCTGGTGATGACCAGACTCAGCCCGCATGTCTGGATGAGTCGGATCGTGATCAGCGTGGGTATCATTGGCAGTTGCATGGCGGCCATGAAAGCAGCGTGGAGCTTATAGTATGTTTCATTCCTGATCCTATAGGGTTTGCAATTTCTGACCACGCACAGTCTCCTCCGTCTTCTGCTCGGCATCTTCATTGCCGGCATGTGGCCCGGAATGACTTATTATCTCACCCTCTTCTACCCTCCTTCCCGCACGGGCAAACGCATCGGCCAATACTTCACTGCCGCTCAGATCTCCGCCGCCGTCGTGGGCCTGGTCTCAGCGGGGTTCCAGAAGATGGACGGCGAGCGCGGCCTCGTCGGCTTCCAATGGATGTTCCTCGTCTACGGCATCATCACCATCGCCGTCGGCATCGTCCTCCTCTGGTGGCTCCCCGACCGGCCCCTGGCTCCCGGCGTCGAACCTCCCCAGCGCAAGTATTTCAAGTGGCTGCCACGCAGCCCGCCCGCCCTCACAGGCCGGGACGCAGAGATTCACTACCACGACCTGAGGCGCGTCTACCACCGTCCGCAGTGGTCCGTCCGCGACCTCCTCCGGGTGTTCCTGGACTGGCGCCTGTGGCCGCTGCTAGTCATGTACTTTGGCGTGGTCGGCGTGGGCATCGGCGTCCAGAACTACGCCACCGTTATCATCAGGGGGATGGACCAGTCCCTGAACGGGATTGACCTCAGTCTCCTCACAGCCCCAATCTGGCTTGTAAGTTCCCTCCCCTTGTCATTTCCCCGCCTTCGCTGCATAACTGACAAAGCAGATGGACCTTCTCGGCATCCTCCTGGTCACCCCCTTCTCGGACCGCTTCCACAAACACCGCGCCCTCTTCTTCTCCCTCCCCGTCTGCCTCCAGATCCTCGGCCTCCTCCTAACCACCTACGCCGGCTCCGCCTCAAACCCCTGGCCCCGCTACGGCGGTCTCCTCATCGTCGGCTTCGGCCTCGGCCCCACAGTCCCCATCACCATGTCCTGGACAACGGAGGTCTTCCAGCCCCGCCACGGCGAAGTCGGCGTCGCCGCCGCCTCGGCCGTCGTCTCCGGCTGGGGAAACCTCGGCAGCATCCTCACCACTTACGCCCTCTACACCGGCTGGCCCAGCGACAGCGCTGCCCCCGGCCGCGCCAAGTTCCGCAAATCTAATCTTGTGATGGTCGGCATTCTGTGCGCTAGTATTCTATCGTCGGTGGTCATGCAGACGGGTCTCTGGGTAGCGGAGCGGAGGAGGCGCGCTCGCGGAGTGGATGAGCCGGGGAAGATTGTCGATGGTGCGGCTAGGCGCGAGGCTCAACAGCGTGGCTTGCAGGGTTTGGGGTCTTCGGGTCTTTTCCGCGTCTTCAGAAAGGGCGCGTAGTTTAGACATGTGTGAATCGATAGATTGCTCATGATTGGCTTTCGAAAGATGAAGATAGATACCGGCTTCTTTGCTCTGTGATAGCGCGGTGTACATGTAATATAATCAAAAGACTAATAGGTATCAAGAGAATTAGTTTAAGCTGTTTGCGGAGACTTTGGAGTAAGTATACTTGGCTATCCAGACATCATACAGTCTGAAGCTCGGCAGCTAAAAATAAATAAATGAGGAAGTAGTTTGCGATACCTCTTGCTCAGCAGCTGGGTATCCCAGTAGGATGATTGAAATCGTGATGAATGTTCCTCGGTCGTACGTTCAGTAGGAAGGGACCCCGAAGTAGGAACGGGATGTTGTTAAGCTCACAGCAAGTAAAGAAATGGAAGGGATAAGCTGTAGGCTAGAACTTCTCTGCATAGACCCCCGGAGCATGATCCTCACAGCCTACAGCACGGCGCCGCAGAGAACGCAACTCCGGGCTATTTGAGTGGGCACCAGTACTACTGATTAGTGCCTAGAGGAGAGCCTAGACTAAGTACAGGCTAAGCTACAGCCTAAGCTATAGCCTAAGCACAGCCTAAATACTACTGTAGATACTAGTACTTGGTACCGGCTAGTGGACTAGTGGTTGATTTACTGGCTGTTAGGGGCCCGACAAGTTTGCCAGCCTCTGCGAGTTCAATTGCTCCTATGGATACTGCCCTGTGGACGCCTGTGTCTGCACGGCCATGGACCAGCAGCGGACCATGCCCCCCCGGTTTCCTCCCTCGTACGGCCCGAATAACAAGGCCCAACCGCCCGGTCCGGGGCAGAAGATCTACGTGGGCAATTTCCCGCTGGGCTCGTGGGAGCTCTCCTTCGTCCAGGGGGGCAATACCTACACGGTAGGGGAGTCCAAGGCTGTGGTGTGGTTCCCCAGGCCGACGGTAGCCATCTCATCTATGACGATCCTCCCAACGGGCTCTTCCCGTATCTCAAGCGCGACCTAGCCGGCTCAGAAGATCAAGATCCAGAGGATGGGGACCCCCAGGAGCCCGCACTCAACGCTACAATCCGCCTCAACAACTTCCAGCTGCCGGCCACCACGCCAAAACAACAACCTCAGCCGCCGCGCCGCCCTCTCCGGGACCAGCTTCCTCGACCCGCGGGTCTATACCGACATACTGAGCTGTGTACTGGCCCCCGACCTCGACAGCTGCACCGACTGCGACCCCCAACCCGACGGCAGCGGCAGCAACCCCCAGCAAGAGCCGCCCTCCGACTCCACCGGCTACCCAGCAACCTACCAGATCTATGCGCCTGAAGCGCGTCTTCTCACAACCCGACGAATGCGACTACGAATGGGCCGGCTTCGAGGCCTACGGGCTCACCACGCCCGAGGACGGGGGCGCGCCGTGCTACCTGGACGGAGCCTGGTGAGCCCGTACTGTCCCTCCAGCAGCCTGGACCCTGATCTGCCGGCTAGCATCGCCGGGATCGACGTGTGGGGGGATACCTGCAAGTACACGGCGGCTGACTGGCGGTCTGTGGGGAACATGCAGGTGGCGGACAAGCTGACCTGCCAGAATAAGTGGAGGGAGGCGAGCTGTATCAAGGGCCCCCAGGGGATGGTGTGGGACTGCGAGCTTGGGATTGCCGTTTATCATGTTCATGGGAGCAGATTCTTAGCTTGTCATACCCTAGGTAGTAGGTAGCCACATGATATCCATATTCAGCTCCTTGGAGGTTTATCTTTTTATACTCACGCATGGGTCTGTAGAATAGAGGCCATTGCAAGTACTTAGCAGACACTAGGGCCCTTAGAAGGGTATAAAGGTCTTGCGCTTTATATAAAGCTTAGTTGTCATGATCAAATGATTGTTCTCCAATTCACCTCGGAAAGAAGTCCTCTATGCTGTACGTGACACATAACCCACATGGGAAGACAAAGAAATCTGATTAAAAATGCAACAGCAGCAGTGGGTAACGAACGCAAAGGCGCAAGCTCTGGCATCTCGAGAGTAAGAGTGACAACCTGAAATACCGACATTAAGGATGGGAAAAACGAGAAAAAGAAATCTATGTTTGCTCCACACGTTGCCAGGCCGCTCTTGTAGTTCTACACCCAGTTGACGCCGGCGGGTATACTAGCGCTAATGAAATGTCTGCACATTTTGTTTTGATATCGAAGATATCTAGTTGCCACCGCAGAGCTATGGAGTGGTTAGCAGAAGTTCGCCTTGGTATGAGAAGGTGCAAACTCACAGTCTCGACGATGATACCGGTGATCTGGTAGGGATCAGCGTTACTGGCGGGACGGCGGTCCTCGAAGTAACCCTTGCCGTCCTTGGCAACCTGGCGGGGAATACGAATGCTGCCACCACGGTCGGCAACACCATAGCTGAACTTGTCGATGCTGCCGGTCTCGTGACGGCCAGTGAGACGCTCTTCGTTACCCTCACCGTAGACGGCAATGTGCTCGTTGTGACGGGCCTCCAGCTTCTGCATGTAAGCCTCGATGGCCTTCATACCGCCTTCAGCACGAGTGGAGGCAGTAGAGACGTTGGTGTGGAGACCGGCTCCGTTCCAGTCACCCTTGATGGGCTTGGGCTCGAAAGAAATCTTGACGCCGAACTCTTCAGCGACGCGGTGGAGCAGGAAGCGGGACATCCAAAGATGGTCACCCACTGTTGCGTTGGTCAGTACTGGCTAATTCAATGCGTGTAGAATGATTATGACGTACTCTCAATACCCTGGCAGGGACCGACCTGGTACTCCCACTGGGAGGGCATAACCTCCGCGTTGATACCAGAGATCTTGATACCGGCGTACAAGCAGGCGCGGTAGTGAGCTTCAACGATGTCACGGCAGTAGACCTTGCCAGTTCCGACACCGCAGTAGTAAGGACCCTGAGCACCGGGGAACCCGCCCTTGGGCCATCCGTAAGGCCAGCCGTCAGTGCCGAGGAGGGTGTATTCCTGTTCCAGACCGAACCAGAACTCTTCCTTGGCGTGGATCTCCATCAGACGGTTGGCCTCATGACGGTAGTTGAACTTGTTGGGGGTTCCATCCGAATCCCAGGTCTCGCAGAGAACGAGAATGTTGTCGCCACGGCGGAACGGGTCAGGGAAGATAGCAACAGGGCGAAGGTAGACATCGGAGTTGTCACCGGGAGCCTGGCCGGTGGAAGAACCGTCAAAGTTCCATTCAGGGAGCTCATCGACAGATGTAACAGGCTTGGCGAGAGTCTAAATTGACGAAGGTTCGAATTAGCAAACATGATTCTCAACATTGTGCCGCATTGCATCGCCGGTCACGTGCCACGGGAAGGTGCATATGAAATCATGGCTTGCAGTTTCCAGTCACCGTGCGCAGGGCTTATCGAAAGAGGGCGCGCGTTAAGATAACGGCACGCCCCATGTCACTAGCCCTGCATCCCAGCGACCATAACCAGTAATATCCATGTATTCATCTTGTCGCCAGATTGGACACCCATTCACATGGAATCCATGTGTACAATCGCACTTCCACGTAACATGTAGGATCGGATTTGATTCAAAAGGAGGAAAAAAGTTGCATACCTTGGTCTTGCAGCGGCAGTTACCGACAGCGTCGACCCAGACATACTCAGCCTGGACATGTCCCCGTTGGTCGAGGCTCATGTACTTCATGAGCTGTTGCCAGCACACAAAAGTCAGTATGACCGTTTCCTCTAAACCGCAGAGGCGGCCGAAGGAATAATTGTAAAATCAATAAAGAGGAAACGCACATTCTCCGTGTTGGAGATGACGGTTGATGTTTCGGCCTAATAGCAAGAGGGTATGAGTCAGAACAACACTCCAAAACATTGTATTCGAATGTATTGAAGGACTCACCATGATTGGCAGAATGTGTGATATGAAGATAGATTTCTTTTGTTGACGAATATTTCAGGCTCGCAGAAGCAGAGCACGCGAAGACTTCAATTACTTAAAATGAAGTCGATTCCAGTAGAGAGAGAGAGATTGACGATGACAATAATCCAGAGGTGGACGAAAGCGACGATATACTGAAGAGCAGATAAGAGAGAGAAAGCGGGTTAAGTGTTAAATAAAGAGGAGGAGGATAAAGGATGGAGATGAGGCGAAATGGATGTATGGGAGTCACAGTAGAAATGTGGGTGGGGGGCGAGGATATCCTTCAAATTTAAGGCAAGAAGGACGACATGAGGGCGATCGATTTCTTTGGGGCGCCGGGGGGCAAAAATTCAGTTATTTTACGGGAAAGAGGAAGGAACCCAGAATAATCCCACTGGAAGATCCATCAAAACTGAAATTTAGATAGGGAAAAAACAGTTTGAAAATTACCTTACCCGCTGGTTGCTGGGCGCCTTCCCGTAATACAAATTCCCACCAGTCAGCATCATATCCACTTCTGACTATTCCTGCCTGCATGATCGAACCATCTGGCCTCTAAAGTATCCTGTCGAGTTGTTGATTTAGAATAGATTTTGAGGACTTTTAGTTTTTACTGTTCTCACCGGAATATTAACATTCATTATTCTGGTGCTATGCTCAACTGGAATGAGGCAAAAGCAAAGTGTGGGCGGAATTTAGTACGAGAGTTTTATCACCACATCAGTACCATACCAACCATATATCCCTCATACTCGTCACCATCACAACCAACCATGTAACAGATCAAAATTATCCCTACCACTGTGAAAAGGATATTGTAACTGAGGAATAGATCTTCGCTTCAATGAACGATCTCGAAAATTCAGTAATGTCCTCATGTCTGGACGCATACTGCAATCCATCAACCTAAACAATAATACCCGTTTAGGAAATCAGATGGATCAAAAATGGCTCCCCCTTTCTCCCGTTGCGCAGGCAGAACGGCATGTGCCATGTAATATGAAACGCTTCATTTCTGATAGGCAGATGCACTGAGTATGGGCGAGAGTTCTTTTGATCAAATCAGTTAATAATTTCACTGTCAAACCGATAAATATCGATTGAAGCCGCCGAAGCGATGGACCTTCCCCGGACTCTCCACCCCACGCCGGAGCAACGAGCTGCTCCCGAATAATGCATTCTGATAAAGATCTGCCGCGATTCTCGTCAATATACATTCGTACTGATGAGCATGACGCGTCGGCTGACTCTGTCTCAAAAGCAATATCAATGACATTGCCTGATGCCTGTGTATGGTGCTGCAGTTGTACAGATAGCAGCTCGATTATGTTGCTAAAAGGTATTATCAAACAGCGACAGGGACGGATGCATATCAATTGCAAGGCTCAATTAGTACGAATCATGCATGCGCCTAATGCAATAGACACCAATCCTATTGGTAGGTGTGCTATAATAGCCTACGGGATGCATCAGACTTTAAGAAGACATTTACAGGGTATCTGACTAGTTAGCTACAAGATAGTTCAAGTACCCTAATTGCTCTCAGAGGGCTTATCTCTCCAGAAGATGGGACCACGGAGATGATTCCGAGGAATTGAGCACACAGTTGATCCAAGATCCTCAGACCGTGTGATTTTCAAAAAACTTCCAGTAGATAATTGCAGTGTAACGCCACAGCGTAAAACCGTGTACCTGCGACTTATCAGCGCATGGTTTTGCTTGGATACTCTTAGTCAATTCCTTATCAATGACTGCCCCTCAAAAAACCCCGCCATTGTCGCGTGGGTGGATAATAGCGCGCCTGCCACATTATCCCATGTCAGACAGTCAGGAGAATTCAAGTTAGCGGCCGAATCAGAAGCTATTACTCGGTCATATCATCTCTGCTCGACTTCTCTCTACGGAGCCGACGTTGTAGGAATCAATACCCGATTCCAGACCATATCTGCAGCCCAACCTATCCCTTCAGGCGGGAAATTTTGATTTGGGTACCTTACACTTTACCCGGTAAAACTATTACATACACGACCCAGAGACGAGTGCCGAATGTGGGGCGTGGCAACGGTCCTTGGACAGCCAGAGGGCCGCCGAAACCGGACTGGAGTTACTAAGTATAATTTAGGACTTGGGAGGGCCAGTAATTGGGTAATTGTGCGTTTTGCACCGCCTCGAAATTGGCGAACGATGGGAACGTTGGGAGGGTTTACCGGAAACTGGATAGATAAGTTATGAGAAAGTCACTGCGTCAAGATGATTCTGGAGAAGCCATCTTCTCCAGATTTTTGGGTGGCGGCCCTTGCTAGTGTCCGATCTGGGTGATGTGAATCCTTAGTCTTCCCGGCCTGTCTCGACAAGAGGCCAACGACAACGGAGTTGAATCGGGAGATTCAGGAATCAGCTGCCGACGAGTGGCTGTAGTTTCAGCCCTGTGGCCGATTTACATTTTGTCTGGAGAACGGAGAAACCTTGCAGGCACTGTACTCCATACAAGAGAGCACAATCACTATTATCATGAGCCTGGAAGCTTCTGTTCTGTACGAGAATCAGAGACATTCTCCAGATCATGAAACACAGCCATCGTTGTCTATCAATAGCATACAGTCGTGCGGCTAGTGCAGTAATAAATAGAACATGTGTGTGGCGGTCCGCAAACACCCTTCTAGCCGGGTGCAGCTTAGCGTCACTCATCCTCCACAAGTCGAATACATCATCCGTCCGCCTGTCCGGTTTCGCCCTTGATCATATGCAATATTATGAAGTCAACTTTGACTTCTGATGCCGACTGTTGACGATCTATTTGAATTCAAGTGTCCAAACAGGAATATATCCCGTTGAAGGCACTTATGACCGAGGACAAAATGAAGACTATGACCGTCACCTCGGTAACTTTTCTCCATTGCAATCCGCAAACGTCAAAATGGGCGTAATTTTTCGAGAGTCGAAACGGAACGTCAATCTCCATAAATGATAGAGTCCAAAAACAAGATGCGGGTAATAGGAAATATATCCCTCACCGGCTACTCCAAAAGCCTGCACACATCTGCGATGGATAATCGCTCATCGCATCGTCCAATAGGCAGCGTATAATAATAATTTCCAGCCCAGCATCTCAATTGAAAATTTGAAACAGAAAAAACCGCAATTATTATTGTTCTTGCCATCGCCAAACGCGTCCGCTGCTTGGCCAGTCATTTCCGCGCCCAGAGAGATTTCTTATCGCAGGACGCTGATTGGATAATTTTGTCGAACCATGACAAACTGCGCTGACTGGATCCCGGTTAATGTGATAGTATCACATCTCAGGCACCAATTCCACATCGAAGTTTGCATGTAAGGTAGAATATTCGACTCGAGGCCACTAGCATCATGTATCTAGATACTTCTTGAATCTGTCCTACCATCCAGGTGATCACTTGAAAGATCAGCTTCAGATGCATCCCACGTAAATCTCAATTTTCGGTGTATCAATGTAGCACTGCAGGCAGTACGGAGAAGATGGTCAGGTACAGTAATTAGCGCAGTTGATCAAACATTCCATGCCCCCTTGCCACGCACCAAGAAGAGAGTCCAGCATTTCGCATGGCAACTCATGGAGGCATCTTCAAGACATTCTTCTGATACGTAATGGAAATGATGCTTGTGTAGAGCCCCTTGCATGATACTGACATATCAAATATTGTTAACTAACAAATCGCGCATATTGGCCGTTCAGGCACTTAGTACACTTGATGTCCCTCGAGCTGCCATATCGTCTCACCTCACAGTGGCATATATTGCTTTTACTGGTAAGCAACTGTACGTACAGGTCCAGGGAAGACTAGGCGTGGTATGGCTGGGTTGGCTTGTGGATGAACATATCTTTAGATTGCCATTTGATGCTGTTAATGCAGGCTTCCTCCCGTGAAAAGGACAATTGTGGAATTGTGGTCATCAGTCCATTCAATTACCACTTATGCGGTACTATCTTGCCCCTACAATTGCAAGCCTCCTTCGAAAGTCCCTTTCCACGGCGTGCCTTCTGTACTCCTCTTGTGAGGTACATGGAGCCTGTTTGTTGGCCCAAGCTCTGTGATCTCACCTTCAAGTGTGGCTCATGCACCTCCTGCTTGAACAGACAAACTGGGGCCGTTGAGTAGACGCGGAGTTGATCTTTAGTAGCCTTGGAGCAGTCAAGCAGCACCTGTTGTCAGGATTCCTTATGACACCACTAAGGGTAGTGCTATGCATACAGCCCCATCACCCGACATACAGCAGTATATTGCAACGTGGAAGTCAAGGGCCTGCATTCGACGGCAAGCCAACCGACAGGTTGATTAGACGCTGCTCTCCACTTAAAAGCCTCCGCCATCGTCTCAGGTCTCACCCGCGTCCCTTCTGCTGCCGTACCCACCGCGCAACCCATTCTACCAAAACCCCGATGTCTTGGGAGATTTCCAGCACCTTGGCTATCCTCTGTTGCAGCTTGAATGATTCACTGTTCTGTGCACCCTTTTCACTGTCCGCTGCCGTTTCATCATCCAGCAGTCCAGTCATGTCCAAGACTGAAATGCGGCCATTAAGCCCAATCTCCAAACTGATAGAGACTTTGCTCAGGACATTGTCTGCAGGAGAACTCGCCAAACGAGGATCTTCCACGGTGAAAAGTAACATTATGACTGGTGATTGTCCAAGTTGGGTCCGTAAGGTCACATCTACCTTGACCTCTTCCTGATGGGCAGCAGGGTCACGCAAACTTATTGATGGTGACATTGCAATGTCTTTCCCTGAGCCTGTAGCAGTAGCATTTGATTTGTTGGCTCCGTTCAACAAGAAGTCAAGCTTTTGCTCATTCGGATCTTTATTGCTCAGAACGATCACTTTGTTTTTCTTTGTTGGCATTATCGCTTTTGAGGTATTCGGTTGCCTAGGAGTCCCCTCTGTGACTGACTCGGCGTCCTTTTTTGACCCATCGTCCTTTTGCGGCGAATTAAATATCTTGTGAATCAGATTCGCAAGCAATGCATACTGACGCAAAATCTAGAAAGCGCACAAGTGTTAGCATATTAGTGTGGCGCAAGCACAGCTTGTACTTACTGGGAAAACGTCCGCAAGTTGCCGCGGATGTGAAAAGGGGATGTCACGCATCGTCCGTCCTGCAACCGACTCAAACGCCTGAAAAGTGTAACTATGATGCTTCGTGCAGGGATTTCCTTCTTGGTCGAAGCCTTGAACAGACGTCCTGCGCCTTTTGCGGCCGGGCTGAGTTATGTCCTCAGCGCCAAGTCCCACTGCACCTGTTGCTGATAGAGGTGACCATCCAGGAACTAGCAGGCCGTCATATGTAACCATTCGGAATTCGTGTGGAAGCTGAATGCCTAGATGCCTGTAAATGTCTGAAGCTGCAAGGATTGGAACATCAAGAGGTGGCTCCATTCGAGCGACAAAACGGCGGTTCAGTGCAGAGGAGCCCAGCATGTTCGAATCAAGTGCCATTGCGTCTGAGCCACCGGAGCCTAGGGTAGGAGGCGGGTCAGCCCAGTTGACGACTGCAATATCTGAAGCTGCAGCCTCATTCGAGGAGGAGCCATTTGCAGCATTGTTGACCACTGTGAGGACATCAGAGTCCACCCATTCTTTCGACACACGAAGTGACGGATAGCCTTCTTCACATTCGATCATTACAAACCATTTTCCATTTTGTGGCTCTGCAACTTCATCAAGCGCTCGATTAGCTGGTCTATCAATGTCCATGGCGTCAGGAGGTGAATTCGCGTGCTTCGCGTCTAAGACCTTCGCTTGGTGCATCCAATAGTCCAAGCTTAGTCCGAGTCGACTTCCCTTGTGAAGGCTTGGTCGGCCAATGGACCCAGCGCATAGATGTTCGAAAACACTCGAGAATCTAGGAAGCTTCTGTTCTTCATCCCATACCCGCTTCAGGCTTTGGTAAAGGCCTTCAATGGCCTCAAAGCAATTAACCTCTTGACTGAGTCTGTCATGCTTGGACAGCCACTGCAGGTTTCCATGAAATCCGGTCAAAGATTTCCATGAACCCCGTTCTCCATCTTCCGGGTTCTGCACAAGATCTCGCTTCAGTACAGCAGTAGCTTCTTCCCGTCGTTCACCATCTGTAGCGTCCGGTGTTGCATAGCTAAGGCTGACGTCTTTCACAACGTTCTGGCCGCGGTGAAATTCAATCTCAAGGTCAACAAAGTTTCCGGCAATGTTGATATTGTCCTCCTGCCAGATAGATTCAAATCCTTCGAGCTGAACTAGACGCTCAATCCCCTCCCTGCAGACTGATCTGCCGGATATGCGAGTCCGTAGAAGTTGGACAACATCTTCAATGTGTCTTTTCCGCTCTTCGTCATTATCTCGAGCGGATCCTAGCTTGATACCTTGCATTCCCAGCGCCTGGATATCATGCTCATTCATACTCGGAACAACTAAGGCATCATGACCGGCAGGAGATGGGCTGATCCCGCCGTAGCCACCCAGCGCTAGCAAAGCAGATGGTGAACTGAAGGTGACAGTATCCTCGATGCCTGTTGTTGCAGCAAGAGGAGTAGCATATTGGTGAGAGGATACACTTGGCTGATGACCATGGCCATGACCCGATGCTGATGGTGTCCTCGTTGAGGGTGACTTATGCGCTATGGCTCTTGCCATATGCGCGCCAGTAGGTCGAGGAGAAGAGGTCAAGTGGGTTGGGGTTGCTCCCGGATTTTGTTTGGTAGAGGGTGTCGCCATATTTGTCCGTTATTTGATGATAAAAAAATCACATTAGAAGGAACGACTAGCAGCCACTCGCGATGACTGCTTTATAATCAATTGGGGTATCATGCAAAGTATGGGATACAATCAACAACCAAACTAAGGCTGCGATGCTTACTTCCCACGCTCCAAGGGGATGCGCAGGAAACAACGGTCGAAACGTCAGGTATCACTAAAGCAGCGGCATCCTACGGGAAAGTTTCTGAAAGGAGCATTTTCGATTATCCAGATAAAGAATGAAAGGAAGCCATCAGCAAAATCGTCAATGGGAGGAAAGACATGGAACAACATCGCAAGAGCTACAATAAATTGCCGGTATCGACTCCGCGAGATCACATGATTTTGTCTTGTTTGTCTCAGCAGCGTCATAGGCAAAGCAGCGATTGAAGCTCCAAATAATTCTGCGCAGACCGATCGACTGCTTCTCGATCTCAGCGGTATATTTACAATATGATCTTGTCTATGTCGTTTACTCGACAGCCGCTCAGGCTAGCGAGATGGTCCCAGATTCGCACAGTGTCTACCCTAGAAGGCAATCCTCATATCGTAAGTTCGGCAACCAGAGCGTCTGCCATATCTCGAGCTCACAAGCACAGTATGTTTTCTCGAATAAACCCCAGAGCGGAAGTCATACCTTGTCGCTCTTGTCTTCGGAGCCTGTCAACCCCAAAACAGCCATTGGTGTCACATCCAAGCTACCTCCTTCGACGGACTCTTTCAGGGAGAATCCGAACTTCCTGGAGATCCTACAAGAGGTCATTTCTGAGTACGGCCACAAAGATCCGGACGCTATCTCTCAAGCTCAGGTTATGGTTTCCACATCTGGGGCTAATATAAGCTCGGGAGGTGTCCTAATGGCAGGACAGAGTAGCCGAAGACGGCGAGAAAGCAAGGACTCTAGTGGAGGAGCCAGTGGCCAGGGTGGTGTCGGCTCTGCTGGTAGAGGCGGCTGGATACACGTTTCCGACAGCAGGAGACCCCCAGAGTATGGTCGTATTGCATGGTAGCGACCCTCTTCGCCTAGTTGCCCAATTGAACCACTAACGAACTGGCAGGCCCGAGGATATCTTCGGCAGTCTAGAAGTTGACGCGAACGGGAAATTTGTCGGAGACAATGGGAATTATCAGCCAAGCGGTACGGCTATATACTTATCAGACGAATTTGGCTCGATTTCAAGCTAACCTGGAAGCAGGCACCTACAGAATCGTCACTAGGGACGGAATGTAAGTTCCCTCGCCGTTCGACTAGTTTTGAAGCTGACATGTTGCACTGCAGACTCGGACTGAGTCCTTTCTTAAGAGAGAAGCTGGTTCAAAGACTACGTGAGCTACAATAGGCGACCTCAGCTTCAGGTCGGGGGTTATACCGAGCTATGTAACACCATGATACTTGTACTATAATACCACATGTATGAACGCATTGAATATGGACACTGCTGGACAGTTGGCTCGTTACATTCATTTCTCATTAGGTGATTCAACCGCTATGCCGCACTGCAGTGGCAGCGTCTGTGCGTGTTGAGGCTGAATTGATCATACTGCAAACCATGACGCCTTCCCTGATTTTGAAGGGTGCAGAAACACTAGGCATACCATCATGATGGCCGTGCATTTGTGGCTGTCATTTCTGAAAAAAGTTTGTGATTCGCTGAGAACCATCAGTCGTCTTCCCATTTGTCTTCTTTAGAGGCTTGTCGTTGTGCGTCGCACTTCGCGTTTTCCTAGTCGATGTTGTCGTCTTCCGTTCAGACTTAGCCTTCAGCTCATGTGCTTTTTCTGTTGGGGAGAGTGAAGGTGCTGGCTCGGTTTTCTGTTTCTTCGGGGCTAGATCGCCAATGTCATCGCCGTCCGGAGGGTACTCTCTTTTGACGCCTGGTTCCGGCAGCGGAGCATTATTTTCACTCCATTGACTGTCTTGAGTCTTGCGCGGCTCATCCGAATCTTTCACCACCTTTTGTTCGGCAGAGTGCAAGGTTTCCTTGGCGTCCTCGTCCCTGGCGGAGGAGACTGCTCCACCCTTCTGCTTCTTCGCGTTGGCGAAGAAATTGGCGATATTACTCTTATTGTCCTTGCTGTTGATCGGAATGATGAAGTCGGGCGAGTTGTTTCCCACCTTGCCGACCTCCTTGGAGACTGGATAGCATTCCAATTCCCCTTCATACGGTTTCAGAATGGACTGCAATTCACTGGACCAAGTTGTCCGTTCGGGATCCAGCCACATCTTCATCGCTTCGCTGTTGGGCTCGAGTATCACTGGCATTCGATCGTGGAGAAATTTCAAGTACGAGTTTGAAGAAGTCGTGATGATGGTATATGTGTAAAGCTTCTCGTCCGAGCCTGTACCTGGACATCAGCGGACGATGAACATCGCAAAGATAGCGGGTGGAATCGAATACCTTCATACGACACGCAATCCCACAGTCCGGCAAAGCACAGCAAATCCCCGTCCTTGCGCTTGATGAAGTGCGGAATCTTTTCTTTACCTCCAGGTCCTTTCTTCAACCATTCGTAAAAGCCTTGGCAGATCACAATGCATCGCTTCTTCCGCTTCATGGATGTCCACATTCCGCGATCCTCGATCAAAGAGTCATCGCGACAATTGATCGTTCGCATCAGAGATCCGTAATCGGGTTTCCGCTTCGTCCAAAATGGTATGAGTCCCCACCTCATGCTCTGAATCTTGTACCTCCATTTCCGATCCTGGTCTTTTTCTACACTGTTGACAGCTTCTGGAGATGGCTCCTGGGGGTCGTCTGTTGTGCCTTGCTCTTGCGCGTCGTCAACGAACCCGCGGTCAGAGACATCGGCCCGGTAGACAGCACCATTATACCCTGGTGCGAAATTGTATGTTTCTCTCACTTCTTCATCCTCGGGGACCTCGTCAATCTGCATCCCTTGCTCCTGCAGACGCCGTCGGACAAATGCCATCCGCTAGCGGTAAGATCAGCACTACTCCGTAGACAAAGAAGCATTGGGGATGATCGGGCTACGCACCACTCCAAGGGCATACCGTCCACACATTTTGGATACGCAATGTCCCTACACCAGGAAATTATTGCGCGTGTTTATAGAAATAGTGCCCCTCTATTTCTGAAGATGGAATAGATATTGAAAGAGCGATAGTGCTGGCGCTGAGCGATCACTTCGACGTCATATCATATCGGCAGGCGGAGAAGCTCGGACCACTAGAACCCTTGAATTTGATAGATGTTTTGAATTTCAGTCTATCTCGCCGCAGTTTCTGGATCGCTCTCCACCACAGCTTCACCACTCCAGCTCCCAATCGGCGCCCGCTCATGATTTGACGACACACAGAGAATCACACAATGTTTAATGCAGCATCACGGCGCGCCTGCGCCTTCATTTCGAGGCCAAGAACCCTACAATGCAACAAAGCTCTCTCTACACGCACGGCGTCACACAGATGTCAACCTGGAAAAAGCACCAGATCATCACTTCAGAGGCAATCACAAACACCATCCTCCTTATTACAACATATCCGTCCTCAGTGCCGACATCTTAGCTATGGACAGCGGATGAAACGCGGCTTCCAGGAAGCGTCAAAAGGAATCTGGCGCAAGAATCCCATCCTCCTCCCACTCGCCATCATCTCAGTCGCCGGAGCCACAGCCATATTCGCATATATATCCTACATCGAGTTGACACGTGTCGGCCCGCAGTATCACAAGTTCCCACCTCCAGTCGCCGAGTCGCTCCGGACGGCTGTATACTACACTGAGGTTGATCTCAACCCAGCCAAGGCGCTGAAGGCATACAAGGAGGCTCTGAGGAAGGCAGTCGAGCTTGGCATGCATCCCTTCTCAGACGAGATGGTAGGAATACATCTCCAGGTATCGATGATGCTTGAGAAGGCCGGGCTGGCGAAACCCGCCATCCAGGTTCTCGAGCGCACAAAGACCGAGTGCCTGAAGTGGGTGGAAGAAGGTAGAAAGAAGAAGGATGCACAGAAGCCTGAAGCCGAAGTGGTGACGGAGTCCATTCAGATCGACGACCCCGACGCGCTAGCAATGCATCAGAAGATGAAGGAGCTAGACGAGTACGAAGAGCGCCAGCGAGACAAGGTCCTGAAGAAGGTTGTCGGCATGCACATGAAGCTCGCAGAGCTGTACGCAAGCGACTACATCCAGGACGAGAAGAAGGCCGAAAGCTACCAGGAAGCCGCGGTGGAACTGTGTCTGAAAGAGCTTCGCCGCCGCCAGGAGCTCGGACTCCCCGTCGGGAGTGCCTCGCAAGACTCCAGCACAGCCTGGCTGAACCTATCCGAGATTGCCACTGCACTCACAGATCTGGGACAGACATATCTAAAGCAGGAAAAGAACGAGCTCGCCATGCCGCTCTTGCTGCGCGCGCTGGACCTCCTACGCACAGACGAGGGCAGCACACCCTCCTGCAAGCAGGTGACGCTCCTCGCGGATGTGTCCACCGCGATCACGGGCGAACTACATAAGAAGACTCCTTCTCGTGGGTCTACTGCCGCGCCTCAACAACTCATCGACTCGGGCAACCAGTGGGCGCAAAAGGCTCTAGACGTTGCTGCTAAACTGCAGCCTCCTATCCGCGACGAGGAATGCGATATGTCCTGTATCGCGGCAATGTATAACCTGGGAGAAATTGCCCATCTTCAGGGCAAGCGGAAGGAAGCCGAACAGTATTGGAAGGAGGCCAAGTCTCTGGCTCGGGGGTTGGGACTCGAAGAGAATGCGGCCCATGTGGAGGAAGCTCTGGCGCAATTGAAGAAATGAGCGACAGTCCGTGTATAAGAGGTCGTGTTATAACTGTACAATAGTATGAAAAATGAAAACAGTTCGAGATTGCTACCTATCGACTGTCAAGAGGCGTAACTGCCATGTTCCCGCATTGAGATGACTAGAGGGCAGTGCATGTAGGCACAATCCCATCCGTGTGCTTTCCCAAGGCAGTGATACAATTGAAGAGTAGGAAGATAAATAGATTTTTATAGTATGTTTTTTTAATTGGTATTAGAACATTCGGCATGCCGACCTTGACAAGATTCCAGACGTACGAAGTTTATGACGAATCAAGCTAGACATGTCGGAGAAAAACCCTGGGCCCAGGCCCGGAGTGCTTCATTGCTCATGGCTCATACATCCCAACCAATGCCAGCGCTTTCTTTTTTATAACAAAGAAAAAACATGGATTTCCTCTCCTCCACCTAAACGCTCGTCAATCATCTATGCCCTCGACATGACACCCCAGGCACGGATCTTGTTGTCAGTGTAACCAGCGAACAGAGTCTGGCCATCAGCGCTCCAGGCGAGAGAGATACACTCGGGCTCACGGGCCTTGGAGCTCTTCTCGATGAACTCGGGCTTGAGCTCATCAACCTTGCTCTTCTTCTCGAGATCGAAGATGGTGATGGAGCTGGCGGTGGCGGCGCAGAGCCAGTAGCGGTTGGGGGAGAAGACGAGGGCGTGGATCTCGTCGCCAGCGTGGAGGGAGTAGAGGTGCTTGGACTCGTTGAGATCCCAGAGCATGGTGGTGCCGTCCTTGCCACCGGAGGCGCAGAGGGATCCATCGGGGGAGATGGTGACGGTGTTGATGTAACCGGTGTGACCGATGTGGTCGGTCTGGAGGCGGCAGGAAGCGAGCTCCCAAACCTAATGGGTACATTTGTGTTAGCTTCAATCCCTCAGGGGAATAGATGAGCTGGTCCCGTGTGTAAAGGTGCAAAACCAAATTGCGAAGTGTCCATCAGGGCATTGGTGATTGTTTGTCTCATGGCCGTAGAAGGCTCTGAAGTAGCAAATACGTATTATGCAAAACATCATTTGGGCAGACAGTTTCGAATCGGGTATACATCGCGCTAGGGAAGACCGGATAAACGTACCTTGACGAGCTTGTCCCAGCCAGCGGAAACGATGACGGGGTTCTGGGGGTTGGGGCTGAAGCGCACGCAGGAAACCCAGTCGGTGTGGCCCTTGTCGGTGATGGTGAACTTGCAGTCGCCGAGGGTGTTCCACAGCTTGATGGTGCGGTCACGAGAACCGGAGACGATCTGGCGGTTGTCGGCGGAGAAGGAGACGGAGAGGACGTCGTTGGTGTGGCCAACGAAGGTACGAGTGGTCTCGCCGGTAGCGAGCTCCCACAGGCGGAGGGACTTGTCCCAAGAGGCGGACAGAGCGTAGGCACCGTCGGAGGAGATGACCTGCACGGAACAAAACACACACGCGGTCAGCCAATCTCGTCATACTTTTTTTCGGTTTCCTCCACGAGTAATCCCCAGTCCTTGCACTCTCTCTAAGCTCAATAGGATTTCGGGTAGCATACACAGTCAGAGACGATGTGGGAGTGACCCTCGAGGCTGCGCTTGGGGTAACCGTAGGCCTGCTCGTCGCGGGTAAGGTTCCAGATGATCAGGGTCTTGTCGCGACTGCCAGAGAGCAGCATGTTGGGGCTATTCGAAAGAAACATCCAAGTCAGAATCTATTTGTCCACGTGCTCAATCAATGCCCAAAGTCTTCCAAAACAAACGTTTCTTCATCCTTTCGGCATATGATTTTCTTGCAGTTTTTTCGAATATTCGGTATTCCCTTACTTCTCCAGAGAGGTAGCCAGGGAAGTAACCCAGCCATTGTGGCCCTCAAGGGTACCACGAAGAACCATCTGCTCAGCCATATTGACGATGAAGGGGCCGCGAGAGGAGGGAGGAGGATGAACGCGGGCGGAGCAATTGTCGTTGACTCTGGGCCTGAGATAAAATCGCAGCGCTCGAGGATGGAGGAGCAGAACCAGCGTTGCCCGCCTAAGCCCTAAACTAGCCCGTTCTGCCGCTGGTTGTGTGGTCCACAAGCCCTAAGCCTAAGCGAGTCACATGACCCCGAACTATACAGATCGGTCGGAGCAGTGGTAAACAATCGTGATACATAACTGCAATCAAAAAATTGGGACGAGCTCATTCATCCAGATTTTTTTGATGATTGTATGAAATTCCCCGAGTTGACCAACTTGAGCATACAGCGACTGGCAACCTAGCATACCCCGAGGACTATATCCATGTCCCATGAGATACCATTAGAGGCAATGCTGTGAAAGCATTGTAATCTAAAGCAGAGCGCATCAAAAATTCAAGGCATACTATAGTACAAGCTGAAATATACAGTAAACAGATATCCGTTTCTCTGCGTCATACCTTGGTCTGCCCACCAGTAGTAACAGTCAAGGCCTATTTATCAAAGACCTGGATGTCGGGCATTCTTCCCAGCCCAGAACCGCCAGTCTTCTTGTTCTTCGCGGCATGGAATCCAACAGCGCTCTTATCACGCACATGCTGTCTCAGAAGCCTGAGGACCTCGGAGTCGGCCCACCGCGAGGGGACAGGCCTATACGCAGCCTTGTAAGCACCAACGGTCTGCTTCCACTCACCACTCTTGGCTCCGGTGCGTTTCCACGTCTCTGTGACGGTATCCTCGGCTGGGCCGTCCGTAGAAGATGGGGGGTCCTGCGTAGCCCAGTAGTAGATGTCCCAGTCATTCTCGTCCAGGAAACGGTCGTACTCCTGGAGCTGTTCTGGCGTCATATCTTTCAGATAGACATCGGCGAAGGTGGATAGCAGCAGATCCGACTCGAGAATACCTCGCTTTCTACTCTGATCTGCATTTGGTCACTCTATTAGCTTCAAGGACCAAGGACCGTAGGAAGCGAACGGCAAGAACCAAACATACACAACAAGCGAGCCCTCATGGTCGCCGGGTCCTCTCCAGTTCGTTTCAGCGGCTCAACCTTGAAGGTAATTCCTTCCATCTCCCCAACACCAAGCTCCGGTTTCTGCGCACCGGGCTGCTGTCTACCGCCAGTGTAATGCTCGACACGGCCAGGATAAGGATCTACCGGCTTATAGTTCGGATCGACCGAGCTCAAGACCTCCGGAGGCGGGGTCTTCTCGCCAACGCTGGGGAAGTCATTGGTCATAGTTGAAGTTGAATGAGGCACAGCTGGGTTCGAAGGCCTCGAAGTCTGGTATTTGCGGTGCTCCGGAGCTGTAGAGGGCGCGCGATCCTTCCCATCGCCATCATTCAGACGAACAGCCGAGCTGCCGAAAGAGCGACGGGCAATTGCTGCTGTGAGAGAGAAGGGCGACCTTGAGGGCCGCGAAAGGCGTTGAATTAGCCGTGGGGCAGACATTGTTAAGCTACTGATCAAGATGAATTTGAATATAGAAGCTTAACAGGGAGTGTCTCTAATTAATGAACTTCAATGAAGCCCAATGTCCAAGGTAGGCACATTAAATAATGACACGGAATTGACATCATCCGCGGCAATGCTGCGTGCTGTTTGCAGCGTTTGCATCAATTAAACATGCCGATGAGATTGGTATAGTCTCGAGTATAAGTCGATTAATTGAGCTCACTACAGACTGCAAGGATACAATGTGTCAACTACATGGATATGAAAAAATCAGATGTGACTGTATGGTGCAGCAGCTTTGCCTCATCGCCAGAACCCTTTCACAACTACTCCGTACGAGCAGCGGCATCTCATGTTATAAACCCACGAACAGTCAAGGTGAAGGCGTGAGACGCTCATTTCTAGGTAATACAGTACTACGAAACAGGAGCACATACCAGAAGCACTTCTATTCATTACAGGTGTCATTTCATAAGTACGGAAATCGAAGCAATGCACCATAAATATACCTGCAAGTACACGAGGCCGAATCCCTCAAATGCGACTGAGAACTCCTTGCCTGTCGTACAATTCAACAGAGAAACAGCCATAAGCAGCCTGTTCATGTCCACATGACAGGTGGGGACCAAAACACAACACGACAAGATCTTAGATAAGATGCTTCGACCTGTTCGCAACAAGAGCAGCAGTTAGCCACGACACCATCAACCCTCCGCAACATGGGAACTCAACATACCTAAAGTAAGCCCTCAGGTATATGACCTGCCAAACACCGAGACCGACCAGCATTCCCATAGTGCCAAAGGCAAACCACTTCACGCGCTCGTTAGTGCTCTCGTTAGTATCGCGCAGCTTCTGTTCGCGGGCCCGCAGGTATTCCATCTCGTTGACGATCTCCGCCACCATCTCCTCAATACGACGGAGATCAGTTTCCACCGGCTTGAGCTTCTCCGCAGCCTGAACGCTGGACCAGTCACGGGCATCGGCGCCGATCTCGACATCGAGCTCGACAGACTTGTACGGGTTCGCAACTCCATCTGGATACGTTCAGATCAGTTCCGAGTCAAGAAATCTCTAGCCGGATATCATGCGCAGCTAGGTAACGTAAGAGGAAAACTCACGATGAGAAACCAGCTTATTCTCAAAGCAAACATCAAACGCCGTATCCGCAACAGAGGTGAATGCCTGACGAGTCTCGCCCGCGATATCCTTAGGCCGACCATGATCATTCCCGAGTGCATCCTTAATCTATAGGACGGAAAACAGTAAGCATCGCTGCAGTAAAACCCGATAAACAGCAATGAATGAAGCCGGAAAGTAGCCTCCCACGACCCGACCCCGAAAATCTCTCAGGGCAGTGGTAAGAATCAACATACGTGCATATTCACAACCTGCCCATCACCTTTCTGCCCGCTCACAATAGCTGTCACAACGACCAATTGGTCCTTGAAGACAAAGTTGCGTATACATCGCTCGTTGTGCCCGCTGCTGGCGTGCAGGTCGAATTTCAAGGCGGAGGAGAGCTGGACAAGGAACAGGAAGAAGACACCGAGGAGTGCCCTCGTGCTGAATTGTGAGGAGCTGCCCATTGTCGATGAGTAAATTGGCCGACAAGGAGGTTGTGGCTTGTTCTGGCGGTATATTTGAGCAGCAATGGGGCTCTATAACATTATTGATGCCACGCCGCGTCTACGGAGAGCGGTCGGGTTAAAGATTTTCCGTCTTCCCCAGTATATCAAACTTTCGAAGACATTGAACCGATTTTATCAGGCCATCTTCTATGAAATTGTTTGAGGACGAAAGTCCGAATGAAACGTTGACTACGCAGTCAACGCTCCACGAGTCTCTACTGTTGATGGCTGACGGTGGTATAATCACGGATGATATGAAATATTTTGCTGAGATAGAAAGAATGTACTGGCTCAGGCAACCGCCAGAATACTGGCCACCCAAAGCTTTATATATACCATCGTACTCCAGTGCAGGACTTTCCCTCAAGAAGTCCAGAAAGTCTAGTTGCGGACAATGAGACAAGAAAGGGAACACGTGAGGTAGCCAAGTGAGTGCGACGCGAGAAAAGCCAACATAAGTTTGCATGCGCGAAGAAATCATAGGCATATCACTGCAAGGAGTATCACAAAGAAAAGGAAAGACGCAAGGAACGTTTCATCACTGGCTCAGAACGCTCAAAGACACATGTCATCTGCCAACCATATAACAATTTCATAGTCGCAAGGAGTTGGGAGATTGGACTAGATCAAGACGGGAGAAAACAAAAGAAGAAAGGGTATATATAATCTCATGCTTCAAACCTCAACTTTCTTGCGACGAACAAAGAGACGGGAGAAGCCACTCGGATCTTTGCCTCTGCTGCCGGATAAGGAGGGTCGCCGACCAGCAGGAGGCTCCGGCGGACCGGTGCTTCTGAGAAAGCTGGCTAATGCACTGGTTTCGGTCTGCTTCTCAGGCACGGTGGACAACCCGTACCCAGCATGAATTGCTCCTCCGTTGCGCTCCATGCCAACCTTGACAGTATAATTCGACTGTCCCGTCAAGTAACCTTCCTGTTGTTGACGCAGCGAAGATTTCGAGGATTTCCCGGAAAGGGATTTGTCAAAGGAAGTATTTCGAAGAAGCCGTGCCTTCATGGCTGAGGCACTTCCAAGTCCTGTGGAAGTACTTTTGGATGTAGGCATATTCAAGGCCAGAGGCTGGGGTTCAGTCTCTGGCGGAGGAACATTACGCAGGAAATCTATCAGGCTTTCTTCCTCCCGTTTAGGCTTCGACGGTTCTAGAAGCTCGTCAAGATATTCGTCGTCGTCCGAGTCATCAATGGCATAAGGATCCCGCACCCGACGTTGCTTCCGTGCTGGTTGAGGATCGGTAGAGTCTCTACTGCTGGCCAGATTGGCCGCATTGACTGAGCCCCCTTGTGCAGTTGAACTGTTGGCGGATTCGAGAAGGGCCGTACGAGAACCGACGGAAGTAAGAGACCGAGTAGCCATTGAGCCTCCTTGTGTGCTAGCAACAGAAGGAGCGCCTTGTCTCAATTCGTCCATGTCCATGGACGAGGCAACTGTGCGCGGGACCTGGTGAGCTCCGATATTCGACGGTCCTTCCCGAAGAAATTCAATTAACTCGGCTGTCTCATGTCCTCGTGGCGCCACAGCTGAACGGGCTTCCAGACGTGGAGCACCGCTGCGGGGGGACTTCCTGTCTCTCTGCTCGGGAGCTACGCTAGGTATCTGAATGGGTATATGTTTCGCCCTCTCGGACGACATAGACTTCGATACCCTTGGAAAGTCGGTCGCTTCCCTAGAGGATGATTTGGATGTCCTTGGCCTAGGTGTTTCGCTTCCAGGAGGGCCGGTATTCTTAAGAAAATCGGCCAAATCCGCGGTTGGTGATCGCTGAGGCTGCCATCTGGGGGAGTCCAAGTTCTTTCAATCGTCAGCTATGGGGTTCTGCAAAAGAGGGTTTTCAGTCTGAACAAACCTCTATATCCCTCATGTTCTTGGGTGTCAGGGTATAATGGATCGTCTCCTCGCTCTGGATCAATTCATCCAATCCCGATTTATCATCATATACTGAGTCATGGGTGACAGCGGATGCTCTACTGGTTTCTGAAGAGCTGCGCACAAGGAACGTAGCGGAGTCGGTTTGGCGACTAATAAGGCCCTTGAGCTTGCTCGAAACCTGCGATGTAGTTGATCCGGCAGTGACTGGACGCTTCTCCCGATGGCTGCCGAAACTGTCGGACCGGCGTGATTTTGTGTAAGTAGACGAGGCTACCGAGGTTGAGGGGCGTGATACCCGTTGAACGGCTGCACGCTCAGTCCCAGAACTGCCAGGGGTAGCTAATCCCGGACTCGTTGCCCCGAAAGACTGCTGGCCTGCAGTGTTCAAGGACAAGGGAACGGGCACGGGCCGAGTCCGCGCACGTTCAGGAAGAATTGCCTCTCCGGCTGGAGAAACCGGTTCGGTGACCTCTTTTCTAGAGGATTGGGCTGTCACCGGTGCCAATCTTGAGGGTTTGCCGTCCGCGGTAGAATCAGACGCCCTGGCAGGAGGGGCTTGCACGGCGGATAAGTCCTCATCAGGGGTCTTGGAGACGTCAGAGGAGCCGGCGGGGCGGGATGGCTTGGCGCTTCCCCCTTGCGTCTGCGGTTCATGGTCAACGACAGTCACAGCCCGCGGCGCTTTTTCTTCCGCTGGCGATGCAGGGGTATCCTCAGAAGCATCCTTATTGGTAACCCGTTTAGGTCGCTGCAATGCGGCCAGCTTTGGCTTTTCGCATAATCCATGTCCTTCGATAACCTCGGAAACCAACTCTTGCTCATCGCTCAAGGATGCCGTGGATGTGCCAGTACTACTGGTTTGACTTGTGGCGGCATCCACTGATGCCGCCGACGGTGAGGATGCCGTGGCCGCATCCTGCACAACAGCGTAGCAGGTCTGTTCACCGGATGAACAGCCTGTTTCAAACTGCTTGACTTGTGGAGTCACCGTAATTTCCTGTGAGACTGATCCGTTTGGTGCCGCTGGTTCGTCATCCTCATCGTGCTCATACATCGTCTCTAAGCGCTTCTGTTCTTCGGCTGTGGTAGGGGAATTTGCCTGCGGAGCCGGAGCATCTTTTGGAATATCATCTTCGGGGTACGGGCTGCTGGGTAGTGACCGCGATCGAACGTGACGGACAAGTCTGGCACCATGTGCGGTGAGAGGAGTAACCGGGGAGTTCCCTGTGGAAGGAGATTTTGGAGATGCCAGGGTGAGTACCATGAGGCTATGAGGTCGCACTTTGTGAGCTACCACAGCTTGCATGGTCCGAATCTCATGTATTTCATGCACTTCGCTGCCATCCAAGTCAGCCACATATCCCGGGATCTCAATCTCTTCGACATCGTGCTCGCTCATTGGCAGAGCGACAGATGCTGGATCAAGCTCCTTGCTGTGCTCAACGCCCGGTGACACGGGCAGACAGGGTGGGCATTCAT